ATTTTAGAAAGACAATCCAGACAAAAAAAAGCTGAGTAATTCAAAAGGTTAATAATAGCACATGACAAAAACACAGAAATAATAAGAAGCACTAGGAGTTCCTAGGAGGGAGAGTTCAAGACATCATGAAACGCTTCAATTTCTCCCCCATAAAAATATAGAGAATTACATTAAACCAAATCCTTGTTGAAACCCATCCAAACCAAGTAAATAAAGTGGCAAGAGACATTACAACCTTGGAACAAAGGTAAAATCTTAACAGAACTTGCTTTGACATTTAAATTAGTACCTTTAAAAGTCACCAAAAAAGCATTTTCCTGCTACAAGGTATGCCACAGGTGATTTGCTTCATCACATCTTAATCTTCAGGAGAAAAAAATTACACAGAAGCTTAGCTTTTCTAAATTGTCTACTATAGTTAACCAGTCATTGACTAAAAAGGGACAGGGAAAATAGTTAAAACTATTTTCTGGAAGTGTGTGAAATTAGATTATCTGCTTATATTTAAAGATAATTTGAAAAAGTCTGAGAAATTCTTTCACAAAAGAAGAGCTATAAATGGTCAAATAAATTTTTAACAATGCATAGATTAGACAGGAATGTGGAAAACATAGAACCCAACATCATTTTGGAACAATATGTCTTCAATTTTCTTAAACTGATAGTTACCTACTTAACTACTAAGCAGCCTTTCTAAATCGGTAATTTCGAAGTTAACATTTTTAATGTAGAATACTTTTACAAAAATGCAAAATCTTCCATAGAAATCTATGATAACCTGTACGTGAAATCTAGGGGGAGAAACAAATCCAGTATTGATCTATAAAAACCTAATTCAGGGGTTTCCCTGGTGGCGCAGTGGTTGAGAGTCCGCCTGCCGATGCGGGGGACATGGGTTCGGGCCCCGGTCCGGGAAGATCCCACTTGCCGCAGAGCGGCTAGGCCCGTGAGCCATGGCCGCTGAGCCTGCACGTCCGGAGCCTGTGCTCCGCAACGGGAAAGGCCCTAACAGTGAGAGGCCCGCGTACCGAAAAAAAAAAAAAAACCTATTTCAATTTGTATGTTCTATTGGTTGTTAGAAAAAAATATTTAATGTCTAAATCAGGAAAGATGTATCTTGATAATGCTTTTAATTCAACAAAAAATTAGAGGTATTATTTAGAATTTGGTTTTGTGACAAAGATGATATGTTTTCATTATAAATATAAAATATGCTTATTACTGGAAATTTGTAAAATGAAGAAAAGGATAAAGAACACAGCCATGTCCTTACCACTAACAGTTCCTTCTAATTAACATATTTTTATGTTTTTAAAAATTTTTGATAATTCTATATAGATTAGATATTCAGCATTTTTTTTCTTTTTCACTTCAACATATGGCATTTTTCTATGCTGTTATTAAACCAACAACATAAGTCACTTTTAATTCTAGGAAACATTCCAATAAATTTTCTTAACCACAATTCACTTTAAACAATTAGGTTGCTTTTTGTTATGCTAATAATGCCAAGATAAATATCTTTGTGTTTTTTCCAATTCACAGATAATTTCCTTAGCCTAAATTCTAGCAGTGAAATTACTAGCCGAAGTCATACAATCAGTAAATAGCAGGGCCTGGGTAAAGAGACGTGTTAGAGTTCACAAGTGCTTATTGCTAAACTTTCAGGAATTTCCTAAGCCATTTGTTAAATACAGACATCATTAAAAATTAAATTTTGTAAATGTATAACTAAATAAATTTTATATAAAACAAATACTCAAATTTCATCATTTTTCATTGTGTTACTACATTTTACTACTATCCTGGCTCAGAGCTGTTTACATCTACTGGACCTATATTGTGGGGACACTACTATATAATGGTATTCTACTGCACATCTCTTCCATCAACATTCAGTGATGTCATGTTGTAGCATGAGTTTGGACATAGTGGGAGTATTTATACCATGGAAATTGGAAAATGGTACAAATGGGGCTTTTTACCCTCCTAGAGAATCCATAGAATTAGCTTGATTATTCAGATGGTGAGCTATCCATGTATCTTATTTATTTCACCCTCAAACTGTGTATTTTTCAACCTATCTACACCTTTTAAAAGCCCTCAAAAAGATGGAAGCAGAGACTGACATCTAAGCATTTTAATCAGTTTTACTACTTGAGCCACTTGGTAAATGTTTATAAAGTATTTTTGAAGAGTACTGTGTTGAGTGGCTGTCGGTGATACAGAAATGTTGAAGTCTTCAAGTAAAAAATGATAAATACCATGAGATAAAAATGATACAGGAATGCAAAGAAAGGAGAGATTATGTCCTGAAGAATTTTACAAGGTCCACAAAAGAGAACATTTTCAGATGAATAAATAGTGTCATAGAAAAGTAAAATGATTAAGGCTATCAAAAACTCCACCCTCTGGATAGACCTAGAGTCTGTCATACAGAGTGAAGTAAGTCAGAAAGAAAAAGACAAATACTGTATGCTAACACATATATATGGAATTTAAGAAAAAAAAATGTCATGAAGAACCTAGGGGTAAGGCAGGAATAAAGAAGCAGACCTACTAGAGAACGGACTTGAGGTTATGGGGAGGGGGAAGGGTGAGCTGTGACAGGGCAAGAGAGAGTCATGGACATATACACACTAACAAACGTAGTAAGGTAGATAGCTAGTGGGAAGCAGCCGCATGGCACAGGGGTATTGGCTCGGTGCTTTGTGACAGCCTGGAGGGGTGGGATAGGGAGGGTGGGAGGGAGGGAGACACAAGAGGGAAGACATATGGGAACATATGTATATGTATAACTGATTCACTTTGTTATAAAGCAGAAACTAACACACCATTGTAAAGCAATTATACCCCAATGAAGATGTTAAAAAAAAAAAAAAAAACTCCACCCTCTTCCTTTTCAGAGCACTTTTATATAACTGCTTTATAACATATCACTCCCCTCATCCTATGTTATAATGACTATTATATACCTCTGCTCCACTACATTACTCATACCTTCAGAGCAGAGCTTCCTTTATCTTTGTATCCCCATCATAGTAGATGTTCAATAAATGTTTCTTTAATGAGTGAGTGAGTGAAAGAATGGATTAATGAATAAGAGCTGACATTTATGAGTTTACAATGTGCTAAGCACTGTCCTAAGCACTTTACATATATTAAATCATTTAATTTTCACTACAACACTATGAGGTAGGTGCTGTCTTGACCAATGAGAGAACTCAGCCATTACACATACAATGAAACTGAATCATGAAGATCCCACAGATGGCAGAAGAGCTAGAATATAAATGCAGTCGGTCTAAGTCTAGAGCCCCTGTTTTTTGCCACTACACCATACCACATCTCAGATTAATGAATGAGCAGCAGGACAGCTCTTTTTTGCATTCATTCTTACTATTTCGAAGTCTAAATAAATAAATAAATAATGCATGCTTCTATATTACATATTCCACTCAATGTCATCAGTTCATTCACATTCGTAGTAGTACTGGTCTCTCTCTTAGCTCTCTAAATTTAAAAAAATAAAATAAGTGAGTCTTAGATTTGGCAAGTTTTGATTTGCAAATTTCTACATGTACTCTTAATCAAATATCTGTTTTAAAAGAACACCCTCAATTTTCCAATTAGAAAGAAAATTATTTAAATATTCCCCCCAAAATGTTAGACACTTCATTTGAGTTTTGATAATCTAACAAAGCTAACCTTTTCTTATCTGCATACTTTATACTTGATATACATATGTGCGTGTGTGTGTGTGTGTGTGTAGAGACGAGAGATATAGTGTTAACTGTGTCACAAATGAACCAGGGTGAAAGTCACTTTGGCCCACCTTTAAAACATCACTACTGAATTCTGTGGGACAAAAAAGACTGAAAAGCTATAAACAACTTGGTCAGAGACTTAAATCTCCAAGGCAAAAATCAATCAACAGATGTTAAAAAAAAAAAAAAAAACACACACACACAAAACAAAAACCCAAGGGCTTGAAATATGTCCAACAAACATTCATAGTTTTAATGGAAAAAAGAAAAAGGGGAGGAGGACTCTCCCTGATAAAACGCCTTCATGACAATGGAGACTGAAAGGTCACTGACCTTACCAACAAAAGGGTGTGATTTCAACAGCAATGAAGGAAAAGATAGCAATTAGGTAAGATTATCACACCTAGACCAAGATATTGTATTGATTTTCATAAAAGGACACAGAATCAATCTATTGTTCAAGTTTGGTAAGTGAGTACAAGATTGTTGTCAAACAGAGTATTATTCATACTTATTGATTCATTTGAAACCTGCTTCATGAAGAAATCCCAACTTATTTACCATAGCCCAGCTCTAAGAATACGTAAGGATAGAATCTAAGAGACTCGACCACTGCACTCATTTAAGAAATTACCTACTAGAAACCATGCTTCTCTTAAATGCATTCTAATGCAAGAAATAGAAGGGTGCATTTGAAATATTTTTAAATCTTTAAATAAATAATACTATGCAAGTTTTTTTGTTTGTTTGTTTGTTTGTTTTTGCGGTACGCGGGCCTCTCACTGTTGTGGCCTCTCCCGTTGCGGAGCACAGGCTCCGGACGCGCAGGCTCAGCGGCCATGGCTCACGGGCCCAGCCACTCCGTGGCATGTGGGATCTTCCCGGACCGGGGCACGAACCCGTGTCCCCTGCATCGGCAGGCGGACTCTCAACCACTGTGACACCAAGGAAGCCCACTATGCAAGTTTTAAAAAAAACACAGTAACTTCTTTGTTATCCATCAAGGTCAGAGAAAGTTGTATTCCAGTTAATCCAATATTCTGATTCAGTTTCTTCATCTATAAAATAAGACTATTATGAATTATATGAATTAATATTTGTAAAGTACTTAGCGCCTGGCATAGATTAAATCCTACATAAGTGATTGTTAAATAAATAAAATGATATAATTATAGTAAACTGTATTTCCAAAAATGTCCTCAGCCTTTTTTCTGGTCCCACATGCTCTTCCAGAACCCTGCCACTCCCTATCAAAAGGTGGAGTCTTTTTTCTCCCCTTGAACTTGGTGGACTTGTGACTGTTCTGCACATCAAAGAAGGAAAGAAATGATGTTCTGTGATTCCCAAGGCTATGTCATAGAAAGGATACAGCTTCTGCCTGGCTCTCTCTTTTTGGAATGCATGCTCTGGGGAACCCAGATAGCGTACTTCAAGAAGGCCAAACTAATCCATTTGGAGAGTTCACAAGGAGAGACCCATATGGAGAGGAATTGGAGCCTTCCTAGCCAACAGCCAGCAACAACTGCCAGAATGAATGAGTCTTCAGATGATTCCAGTTCCCAGCCTTTGAAGTTTTCCAGCTTCAGACATTGTGGAATAAAGAGAGAAGCCATCCTGCTGTGCCCTGTCCAAACTCCTGATCCACAGAATCTGTGAGCATAATAACCTATTTTTTCACACCACTAAATTTTGGGGTAATTTGTTACACAGCCATAGGACCAGGAACAATAAAACTGCTACACTTAAGATTTGCATTTCAACTAAAATCAAAAAGATTTTAAAGTGGCTTATAAAATTAAATATAATGCAAACAGGGCCCAGATAAAACAGAATAGAGACTCATAAAACAAAGCAGAAACAACTGTCAGGCATTCAACACAGTATTATAACAACATTGATAGATAACAGTTTTCTTCCATGTGTGAGGCACTGCAAGGAGCCATGAGTCAATGCTCCCAATAGCCCTAGAAGGCTACTGGTATTATCTCTATTTTACATATCACGTGCAAATCAGAAATAAAATACCCTAAAACTAATAAAACTATGGAAAACACATTTTCCATACTTTCATCTTGTTTTGTTGATTCAGATGGCACTTTTCGGATCCTTATAAAGGATCATCACCATGACTATTGCTAATCTATACTAGTAGGCGTTGGCAAACTTTTTCTTAAAGGGCCAGATGAACATTTTAGTCTCTGAAGGTTATATGTAGCCTTTGCTGCATATTCTTCTTTGTTTGTTTGTTATAGCCCTTTAAAAATGTAAAACCATTCTTAGACTGTGCTCACCACAAAAACATTCTGTGGGCTGGCCCTTGGGCCATAGTTTGCCCAACAGACCACTACAGGGAAATGTTGAATACTAGAAGTTTAAATTAATAAACCCATTTTTATTATAATACTTATAATGGCATCTACAGTTATACTAAATTAAGAAAATATCGTTTCTGGCTCCAGCCTACTATTATCCACTGAAACCACAAGCTTCCATGAACTGTTGGTAAATGAAAATGTAGCTCCAAACATCCACAATTTCCATTATAATAAATGTCTATTCATAACTGACATTCACCAACACTGAAAAGGTTTGGAAGACTGTCTGAAAGAAATGGTCTCTCTAGGGTCTAACTGCTTTTCCAGGCATACACATGGATATCTCTTTGTCTTTATTGAGATAGCCCAGTGTGACTGATAAAACACTGAACACTTCTAACCTCTAGTGTCAATCCTTTACAAGAAAATGTTTATTATTCTTGGCAGGAAATGATGGAAACTGGTGACAAATAGCCGGACTACCTTCACATGTAAGTGAACTGGAATTTTGAGGGAACAGTTCTCCCTAGTAAATTTGTCTACACAGAGCTTAATCAACCAAATTTACAGCTGTTAACAGGTTGTGCCTCTGTATTCCCAAACATATAAATAAACTTCTTAATCAGAATGAAAACAGGTTCAAGGTCCAGTTGTTTAAACTGGAATTGGTACAGCCAGGACCCAACTGCAGTTAAAGTGACTATCAAGGAGAATCATAATCTTGGTAGAAAAGTTGTTTTCCAGTTTCCTCAAAGCTACAAAGATACTGCTTGACAAACACTTCTGTGATCACTTAAAACCAAAGTTATATGATCTCATCTAAAACACCCAATCTAATGCCAAATCAAACCCACTAATTTTCAAGTTGAAGTTCCAAATTAGGAAGAAGCTAATTACTTAAATTCAAATTGGAAGGGGAAAGATTTTTAAGTGCCTATAAATCAAAAGGCCCATAGAAACTGGAATGAGTATTGGAGTGAGGAAATGAAATCACATATATAAAAGGTTTTATTCATTTTGCTTAGGAATGCAAAAGTAAATAAAGTTTAAGTAAATGAAAAGCAGTAAGCACAGGTTCATAGACAGCCCTTTTTACAGACTAAGAAGAGATAGCTGAACACTGGTAACTAAGGTGTTGGCCATGTCATGATAATAGAAACAATTTATCTTGCTGAATTAATTAGCGAAAACAGTCAACAAGAAAAGTAACCAAACCAATCACCAAAAAGGTACAGCCAATTTACACCCTTCCATTTTTGAAAATCCCTGGAAAATTAGAAGTGTTATTTCACGGCATCTGACACTTTTATTATTGTGTTTGACACTCTACATTTCTTTCACCAAAAGATCATCCAAAAGACAAAGAAATTTAAATTTCTTTGTATTGAGTACAAACAAAACAGAGCAGCTAACCATACAGAAAAAAACTATCACCCATAAAAATAGCACTTTTGAGCCTATATTACTACACAACTGACAAATTCTATTTATTATAAGTTGAGCTTAAACAATGCTATATCCTGTTTGAAACCTCAATTTTATGATACTCAAATGCTATATCTGCCAAATTCTACTTTTCCTCAAATTATTCCAATATGACTTCAAACTAAGTGTCCACAGTAGAAGCTGATGAGAAGAAATAGCTCAGGTATATACATTTTCAAAGTTCTGGGAAGGGATCCCATAACATTTAAAATAATGACATTTAAGCACAAGTATCTATTTATAAGCATCTGAATTCTTCTGACAAAGGAAATATTTTTATACTGACAAAACCGAGCCCATTACTCTAAAACCTTACATATTTGTTAGAAAAGCAGGGGAAAATTTGGTCTGAATAAATAAAATGAATAAATGATTCAGGATCCCAAACAACTCTCAGCTTCTCCAATGAAGCTGTAGGTCTGATGACCCAAGGTTTCAATGATCTTTTTCTATGAACTTCTATGCATCTATGGAATAATCACATGGCCAAGCAATTGATTATATATCGATTTCTATTGTTTTCAAGACATTTCTTATGTTGCTTTAGTCTTTAAAATCTTTTGAACCTCAAAGCCATCTAAACACTTCAATAAGCAATTCTTAAGAACTTACTTCCTTTAAAACTTTCCCTAGTGCTGTGGAAAGGTATGTTCCAATTAAATACAAAAATGATTGAATATCAAGTTAAGGATCTTCACTTAATTCATAGATAATGGGAAGCTACTGAATGAAAGTGAAATGGTAGCAGCAATATCTGAAGAAGAGTAATCTAGATGTCTTGTACAGGTTGGATTAGAAGGTTGAAAGACTGGAGGAAAAACAAAATAAAATTAAGAAACTATTCAATTGTCCACAAAATAGGTGGCTGGTGCCTGAGCTAGAGTGGTGGGAAGGAAAGTAGAAGTGGGCATAGAAACAGATAAATAGATAGAGGGAGCCTAAAAATTGTCACAAACTGGTAATTTCTTAAGTGTGAGAATAAGATAGAAAGCATGGTCAAAGATGATTAGTTTCAGTCCAGCAAACATTTACAGAGAACCTACTTTGTACAAGGCATTCAAAAATGAAGTTTGATCATAATCAATACTATAATATAGGTATAAACAACATATTATCATAGTCCAGAGGATGACACAATCAGTCCTGAGTAGAATTTTGGGAAGACCAACATTTTAAGCCTGACTGTTAGAATAATGATACGTATGCCAAATGTTGTCTATTCGTTCTTCAAAAGGTACTTTAATCCACCTCCCTTAAATCTCTTTCTACAAAGTCCAAGCACAGGTCTTCTTTTACCTGTAATACTTCATTAGACTCCCAGCATCAAACACGCTCTCTCACCCAGCTGCTCCTCAGTATAGCAAATCAAGTTAGTTACCAAGTTTTAGCAGACTGCTTTCCTCCTGCTACTCTCTTACTACTCTAAAGGAGAGGACTTTGGTGACTTTCAGTGATTTTGAGGATCAACCTGTTGCTGCCCAAACAGTCACTTCTTTAAAGCCTCTCATCCTACTTTTCATCTGAGCTCTTCTCATTTTGGTCATAAGAGTTTTACATTCCTTTTTATCCAGGTGAAAGCGATGTATCCTCATTGTAAAGGTGGTTTGAGGAGCACATGACTTATGAGTCAGAAAATGTGAGACTGCATACTGGCTCTACCATCTCCTGGTTAAATGATATTGGACAAGTCCGTCTGTACTCTTATCTCTGTACCTGAAGAAACAGAGCCAACCTCACAGGGATATTTTGAGGATTTATGTGAAGTTTTCATAAAGTGAGAAGAGACAGGACATAAACTTCTGTAAATATGAAGATGATTATAGATCCATATTAAGTAAAGTCAATTCTTTACCTAATGAGTAATGGTTCAGAGCCTAGATCAGGTATTGGCTATTCCAAGTTTCTGACTCCATTTGTTTTGGCATGCCAGGCTAATGGGGCAGGGTAGAGAGGCACGTTAGATAATTTTTAATCTATATCCATGCAGTGATGTCCCAATACTCCTGAAGCTTTTGGCTTTGTATCTCTATCCAAGCCAAATAAATTGAAGTTTTCATCTACAGAGAAAAACAAAAGTCTAACTGACCTTTTTAAGCTTGATTAGTGTAGAATTTCCAATAACTGCTCCCCACTCTGTTTTTAAAAACATTTGTAGTTTGGGAAACTAGGCTCTTTTTAATTCACTACTTTCTTCTCTATGTAAAGGTTCTGCTCAAGTCCTCTATCCAATCACGTGTTAACTGTGTAAAACAATTCTGTGCAACAGAACTTTCTGCAATAGATATGTTCCGTATCTGCACTATCCAATATAGTAGTCACTGGCCACCTGTGGCTATTGAGCACCTGTAATGCAGCTAGTGCATCTGGAGAACTAATTTTTTACTTTAATCTTAATTAATTTATATTTAAATGGCCACAGGTGTCCACTGGCTACCATTTTGGACAGCTCAGGTCTGATGTGTGCCGGAGACATACCCATTAAACTTGTAAAATCTACTGACAAGGCTGAGCCACAGTGTCCATTCCACCCCAACTATAAAAATTCTGCTGCTGCTCTTCAGAGTACAGAGCTAGTTCCCATAGGTGTACCTGCATAACCATGGTTTCTGTCGTTGCTCATGGTGCTCCCTCTGCTTAGAACATCCTCCCCCTCACTGTTATGCCAAGCAAATTCCCATTCATCTTTCAAAGCCAGTTCAAATGTTACCTTCCCCAAGAGCCTCCTTTAAATTTTTTTGAGAGTAACACAGCAGTGAAAAGAGCCATAGCTGAAGAAAAAGGCAGATTGAAGTTGAATCCCAGATTAAAGTTTGGCCCTTACTAGCCAGCAATTACTATACCTTGAACAAATCTTGAGCCTCAATTTTCTTCTCTATAAAATAGTAAAAAAATAAAAAAATACTACTTTTGCAAATTTGTTGTAAGAATTAGAAATTCTGAGCAGCATTACATTATGGCTAGCGTTTATTAAACATCTACTTGTATCGGTCATTATGGAAGTACAACACGTGAATTTTTTCATTTCACTGATAGCAACCCTATAAAGTAAGCAATATCCCTTTACCTATTCATCCATATATTCAGCACTTTTATTCACTTATTCATTCAACAAAACATTTGAGGGCCTAATGTGCCTGGCGAGAAACTGAGGATCAAGGAGTAAACAAAAAAAGTCCTAGCACTCAGAGATCTTATATTCTAGTGGAAAATATAAACAATAAGCAAGAAAACAGATATATAACATCAGTAGTGTTAAGTGTTAATGGAGAAAAATAAGGCAAGATAAATAGAGAATAATGGAGGATGCTATTTTATAGATGAGGTTGCCTAGCAAGGCCCCACCACAGAGGTGATACTTGGGCAGGGGACTAACTAAAGCATGAGGATGAGCTATGTGCAAACATGTAGAAATAATGCTCCCAGGAGAAGGAACAACAATTTACTGAGAGCTATTACTTAGTAGATCCTATGCTAGACACTGGAAACACATGAGTGAACCAGGATTTTACATTATTGTAAATAAATGAACAAAACCATAATGCCTTAGAAGTGACAAGTTCAATGAAGAAAAGGGAAAGATATAAGCAAATAGAGAGTGATGGAAGGAAGCACTGTTATTTCTGCTTTAGAGATGAGGACGCTGAGAGGTTAAATAACAAGCTGATAAATTATAAAGCAGGCATTTAAACCCATAAAGTAGCTCATTCTTTCAATTACTATACCATTCTCTCCTGCCTATACTATAAAGTCTCCACTGGGAACTACAGAATGGCAAAAATCATGGTACATTCTTTGCTGTACCTCTAATACCAGTACAATGATACACAGGAGATGCAAAATAAGGTTGAATTAACTAAGATTTCCACTCTAGATGTAATATGAAAACTCCATTATAATTAAAGAGACCATGACTCTAAAACCAGGAAGATGCCTCTCCTTATTCAGGGAAATCCCATTAACATATTCACAACAATAAATAAAATATAACATTTAGGTTCTGGAAGGAGGTTAGAGTGAGAGAGAAATAGTCAAAGGGTCCTAGTGCTTATTACTGCAACACAAAACTACTTGTATGGGCTTGGCAAAGGGTGGGATGGGAGACTGTAATAAATGGGGGAGGAATAACAAAGTTAAGGAATAACAAATTTATCATCACACAGATGTTAACCAAACTGGTGACAAGTTAGCAATATATATCAGGCTTATTGACACTATTTGCCCAAGTATTTTCTTCATTGTAAACTCTTAAGATTTAGAATACTTCAAGTTTCAAAGCTGCTTCCTATCACTTAGCAAACTAGTTCACAACTATCAGCACTTTAACTCATAAACCGAAGGAAGAAAATCCCAGGGCCATATGAACAAATTCTCACCATGCCATCATAACCTGTTTAATCTGTGTGAAAACATCTTATTCGTAATCACTGTACTTTTTTCCTAATTAAAAAGCAATATATATCTATTCTTGAAGATCTGGAAAATTCAGAACTATCTAAAGGAGAAAATATTACCCAAAGATAACTGCTATCAATGAGATGGGGTATTTATTTCCAATATAAAGAGGTGTTTATTTTTATATATGTATATGCATATACATGTTTAATGGTTGTTGTGTGGGTGATTGTTGTTTTTTATGGAACTGTTACACTTTTTCACATAGCTCTGTATATTGCTATTTTTCATTTAACATTAATATTACTTGAAGAGCAATTTCCCCACATTTTAAAATATTAATTTTAATAACTGTAAAATATTCTACTGTAATTAACCATCTCTCTGTTGTTGATTCCAAATTTATGCCATTAAAGTTGATGTTGGGATGAACATCACTGCACTTAATCTGTATTAAAAATAATGATTATTTTCTTAGAATAAATTCCAAGCAGTAAAACTACTGGTTTAAATTATACAGATAAATTATATCAAATTTTATAAGCGTTGTCAAATGTCTTTGACAAGGCAACGCCAACTTACATTTCTGCTACTGAGTTATGAGGCTTTCCATTCCATACTTGCCCACAAAAGGTATCATATTTTTTGAAAATATGCAAGGCAAAAAATAACATGTCACTATTCTAATTTGCATTTATTTTATCAATGACGCTAAATATTTTTTTTCTATTACCAGTTGTATTTCTTCTGTGAATTCTTTTTAAAAAAATATTATTTGGCCATTTTCTTTTGGGGTCAGCACTTTTTTCTATCATTGATTTTTAAGAACACTTTACATAGAGAGAGATTTGCCCTTTATTAACATACATGTTACAAATATTTCTACCTCTTTATTGCCGGCCTTTAAAGCTTTTCTAACGTAGAGATGTTTAAGTTTTTCATGTAGTCATATTTATCAGCACTTTGTTATTAATCTGCTCCATTTAATTTATGCTGGAAAAGTACTTACTACCTTTCTCTTAAAATTGGGTTGGAGCTACTGAAAACTACTTACACCTAGAAAATCTACGGATGAAATACCAGCAATATGAGGGAATAATCCAACCTAGAACTCTCCAACCACTAACAAAGATATACAGTTACTCTCACTTCAATCAAAATATATAGAAATATTAAATAAGATACACAAAGGTTTTTGGTTTAAAAACACAGATGAGTTTCAAATCAATACAGGGAAATCCCCCAAATGCAAGATGTAAAACAAGAAAATCAGAGGACAAAAATACAGCTGTCCCTGTCCCTCAGTATTGGTGCGAGACTGGCTCTAGGAGGGAGCGCCCACCCCGCCCCAATACCAAAAATCTGTGGACAGAAATTTTGATTCATAGCTAGTTGAATCCACAGATGCAAAATCCATGGATAGGAAGGGCTGACTGTATTACACTTCCATGGTGAAGTTTATTCCTAAGTATTTTATTCTTTTTCTTTCTATTATAGATAGAATTCTTTTCTTAATTTCATTTTCACATTTCATGGCTAGTATATAGAAACACAACTGATTTGGGTACATTGATCTTGTATCATGTAACCTTGGAGAATTCATCTGTTATCTCAAATAGGTTTTATTTTTCATTTGGGGGAATTCTTTATGGGGGGTTATATTTATAAGATCGCGCTATCTGCAAATAGAGATAATTCTAGTTCTTCCTTTCCCATATGGTTGTCTTTTCTTTTTCTTGCCTAATTGCCCTGGCTAGAACCTCCAGCACAATGTCGAATGAAGTGGCAAGAGCCATTACTGAAAGAATTTAAAGATATTAAAAAAAAAAAGGAAAGATGTTCATGGACTTGAATACTTGATATTGTTAAGATACCAATACTCCCCTAAGATTCAATATAATCTTTATCAAAATTCCAGTTGTTGTTTTTTTTAAAAACAGAAATGGGGCTTCCCTGGTGGCGCAGTGGTTGAGAATCTGCCTGCCAATGCAGGGGACACGGGTTCGAGCCCTGGTCTGGGAAGATCCCACATGCCACGGAGCAACTGGGCCCGTGAGCCACAATTACTGAGCCTGCGCGTCTGGAGCCTGTGCTCCGCAACAAGAGAGGCCGCAATAGTGAGAGGCCCGTGCACCGCGATGAAGAGTGGCCCCCGCTTGCCACAACTGGAGAAAGCCCTCGCACAGAAACGAAGACCCAACACGGCCATAAATAAAAATAAATAAAAAAATTAAAAAAAAAAAAAAAACAGAAATGGACAAGCTAATCCTAAAAATCATACAAAAATGCAAAGGACTCAGAATAGCCAAAATAATCTCGAGAAAGAACAAAGGAAGAGGACTTGCTTCTCGATTTCAATATATACTAAAAAGTTATAGTAATCAAGACTGTGTGATGCTGATATAAGGAGAGCCATATAGAACAAAGGAAAAAACTTAAGAATCTAGAAATAAACCCATAGATCTATGGTCAACAAGAGTGCCAAGACCATTCAATGAGGAAAAAATAGTGTTTTTAACAAATAGTTCTGAGATTGGATATCCACATGCAAAAGAATGAAATTGGACCCTTACCCGACACCATGTACAAAAACTGTCTCAAAATGGATGAAAGACCTAAATGTAAAAACTACAACTATA